GACTTTGTTTCTTCAGTAGAACACAAACGAAGATTTTTGAGGTCTTAAGACACGAAACGATCGGTCTGTGCAAGAAACTGAACAGTATTTATATAAATTTTTACCTCTGATTCACCGCAATGTCTGAGCGTGTTCACAATATCCGCGTGATGCGTGTACGTGCTCTGGCGTAGTAGACATAGATATATATAAGTAGATGCCTCGTTAGTGACTGTTTCTATGGGCCGCGATACGTTCCAAAATGGCAGACACGTCAACGTATCTGGAGCGGTCGAATAGGGCATCTATATATATCTATGATAGTAGACACATGTGCGGAAGTGATCTGTCACGCGTATACATCACTCATTAGTGCAGTGCAGAGAAATTGCGGACGTGTTCACTGGCACTGCAATGATCTAAAGATATTTAGAAATACTGGTCATCACAATGGAAGACGATTTTGATATATCATCAGACAACATGGAATTTTTTGCCCAACCTTATTTATTAGACGTCACGCGCCGGATGTTGTGAACGCGCTCAGGACAGTTGGACATTGCAGTGGATCAGAGGTAAAAAAGGATATAAATACTATAAGACTGATAGACTGCAACGGTTTGAGTCAAAAATCTTCGTTTGTGTTCTACTGAAGAAACAAAGTCACCTACATCTTGGATGCCCTGGGGGTAAGCAGATAAACATCAAATTTTCATTTTTGGGCGAACTATCCCTTTAAATTTATGAAACTTACATGATCATTAGAAATGTTGTAAAAATAAAAATAAAGATATTACACACACACACACACGCGTATGTATATATGTATATATAACAAAGATAAAGCACAAAGCAAAAATACTAACTAGCATAATTACAAAAACATACCAAAATTAAAAGACTGAAAATATTACAAAAGCTCATTCCAAATATTAATATATTAATAAAGATTCTTCAAAATATATTTTTCTTTATCTTCAATTTACATTTTTTTGGTGAACTATCCCTTTAAGTCAAACATCACTGTTACTTAGGGCCACGAGTTTCAACAAACTCATAACCGTAATATTAAACTTTGCCACAAGCTCAAAACCATTTATGCCCCCCCCCAAAAAAAGATAGTTTAAGATCAGACTTACTGTTTTCAACTAGCAGACCAAATTTAAAACAAAAATTACTATAAATTACATCCACTGAGGAACCCGGGCCATATCTAGAGAGACCAGAATATCATAAAGATTTGTAGTGGGCTCTTTAGACCAGTAAGTAACCACTTACTTGCAAGCCTCTAACAACCATCCAGAACACCCTAGCAAACACAAAAATTTAAAAAAATGTGCACAACACCTTGGCATACACAAAAGGTCCCAAAAGGACCATAGTGCTATGGTATTCTCAGAACATTGGAGTACCATGCAAATATCATGGTATGTTCATTATCTGATATCATTACTGTAGTATGTTACTGCCACAGTGCTGTTTTGCCCTGGAAACCACCCACAACGCAATAGCATCTTGCCAGTGATTCTGCACCGGCAAGAACCACTCACATTTTTCCAGCAAATGTAGAAATCTGAGTTCATTTTGTAATGCTGTGCCTCAGCGCTGTCCGGTAAGTAATCACATCAACAGATATATTACACCCCCGTCAGCACAGATGCATGTGATTTATTTTATTCCTAGATTAATTGCATTAACTGAATTTATCTTTAAGTGCCCGCAGATACACATCACTCTCAGCTGAGCGGATGGCAAAGTTGATTGGTCTTGCTTCCGCAGGCTGTACCAGCTCCATATGCGGGTGTTGTGCTCTAATTTGTTCATGTGCTGGGTTTCCGTTCCTCAAATTAGACACCTTGATTGCGATTGTTCAGCATCTGCCATAAAACTTCACAAGCTAACAAACAGCTTTATAATGAGGTCTTGTTAATTTTTACCAAATGTCATTTTTACTCTCTAAAAAACATGAGAAATGAAACAAAAGGCTTTTGTAGGATACATACTGTATTTTCATTCAATGGAAAGATATTGGTTTACTATACAATTTATCCAGGAAAACACAGTAAGCACCCTAAATAAGCGTCCAATCTGTGTTAGACTTTGGCCCAGGTCTCTCTGAGCACAAGAAAGTACAGACTGTAACTCTCATCTTGGCTGATATAGTTGTGTGGGGCAGCCATTGTTAGAGAGGCAAACAATTTATGGGCATTCAGCAACAATTCATGGCCCACCCGTCAGATCGATGAACGATCCCCCTCCTACGCACCGTGCTGTGCCCAGTCCGGAGATGCTGAAACACCACAATCTGATTATCTAAGACAATTTAGGTTCAGCACGAACACAAAATCTTGCATGTCAGATATTTAAAAAAGCCAAAAAAGCCAGAAAGTCATGATATACCATCTAATTCTTAAAAATAAATGTTCCAAAAGAAGGGTTTTGCAGCAGTGCCATAGAAGAACCATTTTGGGTTCTTAAAATAACCTTTTTTTTTAGTGTAAAGAACATTTTAATAATCTGAAGAACTTTTTTTGTACTCTATAGAACATTATGAGCAGTGGAACCTTTCGTGATGTTAGACGTTAAAGGTTCTTCATGGAACCCTCAATGCCATTAAAGAACCTTTATTTTTGAGAGCGCATTGGAGCAGTAACAAAAACAATAGCTACTCTACAGCAATATTGTGTCTGAACAAATAGCATCTTGTCATACATGTTGTTATTTAAACCTGTTTCCAAGATCTCACTAACAAAAAGTACCATGATTTAACCATGATTTTTGGACATGCACCATGGTAATATTATTGTTTTATGTGTATTATGGATATACCATGTAAATATCAAGGTACATGAATATGAAGTAACAAGAGTCACACTTCTCAGATTGTTTTTATAAAATATGCATAAATAAGTCAAATGCATTTGCCTAAAATCTGCCTAATATCTTAAAAGCATTAATTTGCACAAAAGAGATAGAAATAAAAATAAAAACTCATTTCTAGGCTTAAGCAAGTGGTTTATGCATCTTGTCCTAGATTGCTTGCCAAACAAAGTGCACTATGAAGTTCTGCTGATTTAATGATACTGCCAAATGTTTCAGACTCTGTGTCCTGGAAACACTTTGTACTTTGAGGATGTCCTTTCCTATTACACTTATTGCCTGGTGACAAATGACTAGATGACAATGTAAACACCACTCAGGTTTAGACTAATGACACCTGTCTTAGACTAATGAGACTTTTTTCTAATGATGTAACATTTCCCATGAGTCTCGTAGAAATATTTAAACAGACTGCAAACATCTGACTCGTATACAGGAATTCATAATGATGACCAATAATTGCCCTGCTTGAGAAAGAAGAGAATTTGTGTTAAATCCAGCTATCCTAAATATCCAGATCCCTAACCAAATATAGAGAATAGCAAAAGCCTATAGTGTATATGAGCAAAATACTATGTAGTAAAATATAATATCATAAAATATTTCTGCAGAATTAGATTCAATTTAAAGAGTTTATGTTTTCCTAATTTTAATATAGCACTTTGCATTAAAAAATACAAATTGGTGTTCCATTGTCCCAAATTAGAGACATCTAAACTGAACTCAATTTTAATGTTAACTACATTGGTCCAGATCAACCCTGTTACCAAAAACAATTTTATAAAAAAGATATGCAAATTAATATTTCTTTAACATTTCAAATTTAAATAAGTATCAAATAGCTTAAAAAACATAGCTTACCATGACAGCAAGTGACAGCAAACTTTTGGCTAAATCATCTCACTTGGCGGAAGGAGGGACTTTGTAGAAAACGAAGCGTTTGAGAGAGGCGGGGCATAGAGGACCTACAATAATGTACAGTATTTGAAAAATAATGTGTTTTTTGAACATTAAAGCATGTCAACATATTCTGTTACACCAAATACACAAAATAATGATCTTTAAAAAAGCATCATATGACCCCTTTAATCCACAAATATGGAACAAATTAGTAGCTCACTTTTAAAAGCAACAAAGGCACAAATCCCTCTGAAAATAGGGAGTACATTTAAATATGTTATATTCTTGTCTTGTTAATTTTTACACAACTTTGTATTGCTGACTGTATATGGCAAGCTCAATCCAAGGGAAAGGGTCAATAAACTAACATTATAGCCGTACCATCAATACCTATAAACTAACATTTCCAAAGTAGATGGCCACTGTGACAGCTACATGTAGACTAAATCATCTCAGTTGATTAAATAACTTCCAAGAATATGGCACAAATTGGTGTCTGAATAAACACCAATCCCATATTCTTTGGAGTGACAACTGTTAGAGATGGGTAGGCTACTAATATCAATATCAATTTTACACACATTTTAGTGTTGACTATCTCAAGCTCAACCCTGTTACCAAATAAATATTAATAACACGCTCTTTTTTTCTAAAAACTAATATTTATAGGAAACACAGGCTAAGTTAATTAATAACTATAACCAACATTTGGTCTCATACCCGTCGGCCACTACAGCGTTATATCTTAAATTAGGCGAAATCTGCAACCCTGTTACATATTGTGATATGGGGCTATTTTGTTGGAGGTCCAAGCAGTGAATATCGTCTTCAACAAGCGTTTGAAAAGGTTAGGCACATAGGCTACTGCTGCACTTCCACTTACCGTCCCAATTCAGACTCCAGCTCATAGAAGTCCGCCAGCGTCTCTTTCTTGGATCCGTCGATCCAGTATTCAGCAGCGGCTCTAGAGGCGGGCATTGTCACTTTCAGCATCTCCAGCGCTTCAGTTCACTGTCAGCGGAGCGAAACAACATCACCAAATGACATGGAAGAAAACGGGACACACAGTCTGGAGAGGCAAACAACAAACATCTTTGTGGAAAGAGTTTCGCATTACCTGTAATCTGTGTTGGGTGGCGTGTATGTGTAGCGTCAGTCGATCGCGGTTGTCATGTCGCTCTCTGAACGGACTGAGCGCGCGGCTTCCACTGGGTCTTACTGTCGCCTATGTAGGGCGCTGATTTTCTGTCTGTGTCATTTACCTGGATTCAGTGAACGTCACATATTAGCCTACATAACAATACTCCGGTATATTTTTGCCAGCTGCATCACTGCTAGATATCATTATGGCAAATGATAGATATATTTCAAGACATAGCTAGATTTCATCCATTTCCTTCATTAATGAAAGACACCATACTGTCAATAACACATTACTGACACACTGTAAAACAACTAGCTGGGTCAATCTAAGTCTGTCATGAAATTCGGGTCATATTTCGGCCAAAAATCGGGATTCGAGGATTTGATCTCCCTTATTAAGGCTTTAATCCAACAAAGGTAGGCCTAGTAAAAACCAATTGTTATTGAAATGTAGGCTACATGTATTCTTTCTTTCTTTCGTTGTGCATTTTGAAACGTTTGCAGGTGCAGGAACTATAACCAGGAACTACAAAACAGGGCGCTAAATAGGCCTACAGATAGGCTATGTATGTGTGTGTGTGTGTAGACCTATATATATATATATATATATATATATATATATAATGTGTGTGTGTGTGTGTGTGTGTGCATGTTTATTTGGTTTATGAGGACATAAATTTGTATAATGACATGGGTATGACAATCAGAAGGAGATTTATTAGGACATTTTCAGTGTCCCCGTGATTCAAAAGGCTTATACATCATTCAGAATGAGTTTTTTTGAAAATCTAAAAATGCACAAAGTTTCCTGTGATGGGTAGGTTTAGGTGTAGGGTTGATTCCAAAATCAGAAATCAGATTCCAAAAATTAAATACTCGTAATTTGAATTAAAATACACGTACTCCGACTACAATTAGGTAATAAAATCTACTATTTAAATGTGGGTCAAAATGTATATTGTATTAATATTTGTTGTTCCTTTTATTTTCTATTTATCTATCTATCTATATCTATTTTTAAGAAGCCTGTATAACATATTTATATCTATTTTAGTAGATTATATCAAAGTACCATGGCTTTACTATCTGATACCAAGTACTTTTTGAAAGTGCTGTTTGAAGTTGTTCTGAAACACCAGACTGTTTTATTGAAATGTTTACCCCAGAGTCAGACCTCTGATGCACGTACTTTAGGATGACATCAATTCCCTTACCAGGTTTGACTTAATGTGCATTGAGGATCTTTTTCTTTAATTTTTCAAATATGCCACTTTCAATGACAATTTCAATGTGCTAAGAGGAAGAAATCACCCACACTGAGTCCAGATCTGTACTGGCCTGTATGACTGGTCATCCTTTAAAGCTCAAGCAGTGCAGGAGTGTTCTGGGCTCCCACACAGAGAGACCCATCTGTTCAGTATCTGCTCAACGCAAAACAACCACAATCCCAGCTAACCACCAGCATCCCTCTTATCTCACATTCACTTCCTTGATGCTCAAAAAATAAGAACTGGGAGGTGATGTAGGATCATTTTTTGCATTTGTATGCAAAATAACAGAGGTGTACATATATATATATATATATATATACACACACATATATATATGTGTGTGTGTTCCAAATTATTATGCAAGTGGCATAGAAAATGTGTTTCAACAGCCACTGTGCAGGTTTCGCTTTGTGAGGTTTGGTTAGCAGTGACTGAAACGCAGCTTTACGAACAACTGCCAGTCTGCATGGAGAGGATCTTGAGACTCCAGTAGCTTTAAACACCTGTTTGCTGCTCAGCAGTGGCTTTTTTTTACAGCTGCCATTACAATACAATTCATTTGTTTGACAGAAACAATCCTTAATAAATCTTTATCTGACCAAGATCTTCTGTGCTCTAAGTCACTCACAAATCTTTTGATAGTTCAATAAATTCTATTTGCTTTTTGCAAAATATTGTTTGTTTTGATGCCTTTTGCAAGGCATTGCATTGTTTCATACTTTTTATCTTCAGATAAAAGATCTTTCTTCCTCACCATAATCGCACAAGAACGTCTCAGGTTACTTATGTAACCATGGTTCCCTGAGTAGGGAACGAGACACTGCGTCCTCTAGGGGTCGCTATGGGGAACGCCTCGTCGTGACCCGTGTCTGAAGCATACATTGAAAAAACACCAACTCGTTGGCCGGCGACAGCCATGACGTCACTACCGGTGCGACT